TAAAATAGAAAGTATAACATGATACGGCAGAGATAAATCCAACTATTATTTATAACATTAAATGGAAGTGGGAAAAAGTCACTAATATTGGGATCATTAAGGAAGGAATAGATAATACAAAATGATACAGTAAGTTTCAACGTAAAAGAATGTACAAATTGCATTAATCACTTGCAAACAGAAGGAGAACAGTTGATATCAAATAAAGCAAAAAAGTATTGAAATGAACAAAGAGGGTCATTTTTATAATAATCAAAAGCAAACAGAGTTATTAGGATCTCTTCTGTGATAAATCTCATTGTTTCAAGATACACAGAATACAACCTAAATGTCCCAGTTGAAGCATGGTCAAAGGGATCATGGTATAGCTGTGTAATGGTCTTATATGTAGTGATTCAGAGCCATGATACTGATGGTCCTTTGTTCACAAAGAAGGCTGTTACCAGTATATTGTTGGTTGAAGAGTGTCTTACAGATAGAGTGGACATTCTTTTCCCACTTTGGTTAAAGTAGAATCAAATGTTAACTGGGATTATTTCTAGGTGATGAAACTAGAGTCAGTTTCAATATTATTCAATTATTCAATATTATCATATGAGCTTTTCATCTTTTCCTATGGTGAATATAGTAGATTATTGACCCTAAGTATTTGTTCCCTTATATTGGATGCGTTTTACTTTGATGCATCATCAAACTCAGTTTGGCCTGCTTTGGCCAATGAGATGTGAGTGAAAGTGGCATGCGTCACCTACAAGCAAGCACTTTAAGAACTATCTCATGGTGCCACCATGGCTGTTTTCCCTTGTCACATGGGAGTTACTCTTAAAACCTGGAATGAATAGGATATAGAATGGGGGTGCAGCTGACCTCTAAAGGACATGTAAATGAGACATGTAAATAAAGCTTTCTTGAAAGCCCTTGAGATTTGGGGGTCATGTATTACCATGTCACAACTTAGCCCAGCCTACGTAGTTAGGTTCCAGGTGTTTCATTTCAGTTCAATTTCAGATGAACACATGCAATTTATGGTGCCTGTGAACAGCAGCTTCTGTAAGACTTCCCTGCCACGTCAGGCTTTAGTTAGGTCTCTGGGTCATAAATCTGAATTTTATGTCACTCAGTGTAAATGCAACTGTTAGAGCACTTTTTAAAGCGATTGTAGTGATCCCACTGATATGAATGGGGAAGGAGACAAGAGAATTAGATGTTCAGCTCTTGTATTGCTGTTACTTTTAGCAACAATGTTTTTCTCATTAAGTTTAGGAATTATGTTGGTATAGACTTTAAAATCTATGGTCTTTCAAAAAAATAAAATCAAATCTTTGGCTTAGGATTTTGTTTGGATAATTTATGAACATGTGCTTTGATAGAGATGAAATAATTATTTTTTGTTTTTTGTTTTTTTTTAAGATTTTATTTATTAATTTGACAGGCAGAGATCACAAGTAGGCAGAGAGGCAGGCAGAGGGCAGGGTGGGGTGGGGGGAGGAGCAGGCTCCCTGCTGAGCAGAGAGCCCTATGCAGGGCTGGATCCCAGGACCCTGGGAACATGACCTGAGCCAAAGGCAGAGGCTTTAACCCACTGAGCCACCCAGGCACCCCGAAATAATTACTTTTAATGTCACACTAATTCTTACACTCTAAAAGTAAAGAGTAGGTGTAACTTACTCACTTGATCAAACACTTGATTGATAATCAGATTGGGGTAATCTTTAGAGATCATCTCATTGAACGTTAGGCACTTGAAATCCTCATTGTTAAAAAAAATTCAGAAATTAATAGACAAAACAATTGTCAAAAATGATTCTTGGAATGAATTAGGTCCTCTTAATTGCCTTTTCTTCATTCTTGATATTATTCAAGATTTTCATAATTGTCATTCAACCAAAATGTTGCCCTGTCATCATAGACAGGCAACCCTGAAAATGTCCTTTTAAATTAAAACAAGAACCAAGGTGTTAGCATTGGTGTTAATGGGGAAAGTTCAGTTGGGAGTTGGCTGTGCTTCAGAAAAAAAAGTTCAAAAGAGGAAATGCTGGCTCTTGATGTCGCGTGGATTGAATTTACTTCCAAATGGGTAACAGTCTAATAGGTTTGATTGTTTCAGCCTCATCCCTTGGGGGCACTTGAACACGTCACAGAACCTCCATGCTCTTAGCTCATGTGTCCTCATCTTGTACAATGTCTTGGACCAGAAAGTACTTCAAATCAAGGACCCAAGTAGTGTTCTTGCTTTCTGTTTGCTGGTACCAGAGCTTGGCTTGAGAAATCTTACTCACACTCATTAGACTCCCTTCACATAATAAAGCAATTAGATGATCATCATCTGTCCAATGTCGGCTTCTTACTACCTTATGGCAATACTCAGTGGAACCCGATTCCCGGCCGATGCAAGAGCACTGCAGCTCTTTATCTTTCTATTAATGCAAAGACCAGTTTTGTTTCAAGAGAAAACTTTCCAGTTTTGGAGCTAAGTGTTGGTGCCGATGAAGTTGAAATCTTAAGAAAGGATTACAAGTTTTATTTACTAGAGAGAAAACTAGAGTTTTCCCAATTTATAATATAATTTAATATAATAATACATTATTATTATATCAATATTATTCATTAATTTATTATGTATTAATATATTGTATTAACATATATTTATGTCATATATTATAATCAACAAATAATATATTAATATAGTAATGTTATATGATATATTAATATATTGATAATCTATTTTATTTATATTAACATTATTTATTATATTAATATATTGATAGATTTATAATGATTTAATATAATACTATAATTTTATGATAGAATAATTTATTGGACTGTTCTTTTGAATATTTTATGTAGCCAGGTGACCGTTAAAATCCTGATTAACACATTCAGGGTTAATTAATTGATAACCCATGAACATAATGTTGCAGATTTAGAAAATGCAACTATTTCAGACCTGTATAAAATTTACTTGCACTTGCAGAGTTTACATGGTCTATACATAAATCATACAATATATTTATCTTGGTAATATGACCTGTTAAACATTTGTCCACAGCTGAAATTACTCTGAGCTCTGGAACTATATTTCCAAGTGTTTGTCACCATTTGAATGCCTCAGTTATACCTGAAACTCAGCGGGTCAAACCATACTCGGGACTTTCTGTCAATCCCGGATTTCCTTTGGCCAGCCCTCACTCAGGGCTTTAAAACCAGAAACTCAGGAGGCCTCCTCAACTCTGCCTTCTCCTCCACTCCCCCATCCACTCTCCCTCCCCACTCCTTCATATTCAGTTACAGCTGCCCGGACTGGATGCCCAGTTTCCCATCACCTCTCTAACCATCATCTCTTGCTTCCTGATTGGGCTTCCCTCACCTTCTTTATTTCCCCAGTTTGGTTCTCCTCATGTCTGTCAAGGTATCCTTTTAAACACAGAAATCTGGTTAGATCACACCACTTTATGGCTTCTTATGCTCACAATAAAAATTGAAATGCTGAACATGGCCGACAAGTCCCCACGGGGACTGGCGTCTGCCTCTCTCTGACCCATCATGCCGCTCTAATCATGACGGCCAGCCCTAATTCCTTAATCACGTCAGGCTGGACACACAAGCACCTGATTAACTCCTGTTCATCCTTCAGACTCAGCTCAGACCCACTTGATCAGGAATACCTCTGACTTCCGGATCCAGTGAGTTTCTCTCGCCATGTATCTTCCTCCATCTTTACTCTTTTCTGATTTTTTGATTGGCTCTCTCTTCCTCTGGACTGAAGTTCAGGTCTCACTTTTCTTTAGCCTTAGGATTGCTTTCTGATCATTGCCAGGAACTTTTTCTTCCAAACTGTGCTGTTGTACTTACCCAAGTGTCCTGTACTTCCTTCAAGGAGTATTATCATTAAGACAGGGCTAGAATTTAGTCTTGCTGTCTTCTTGGAAAAGCAGACTGCTTTAGTGGTCAGTCTGTGGGTCACAGATTGTTGGTTAAGCTTCTCATCCTACACTGTCATGCTTACCTTTAAAAAACCCCTTTGTTAGTGATCTGTGTTGCCAGTTGAACAATGCTTCTCTCAGACACAAGTTTTTGGTCTTAGCACTTAGAGTTCAGGCTTTCCTTATGTGTATCCAAGTGAAAAATGAAGTGGCTCTTGGCTGTGGCTAAATGAAGCAATTCTAAGCATTACCCCAGTTTCAGAACGTGCCCATCCATCAGTAGATTCTTTTGTTTTTGTTTTGTTTTGTTTTTTAAAGATTTTATTTATTTATTTGACAGAGATAGAGATCACAAGTAGGCAGAGAGGCAGGCAGAGAGAGAGGAGGAAGCAGGCTCCCTGCTGAGCAGAGAGCCCAGTGCGGGCTCCATCCCAGGACTCTGAGATCATGACCAGAGCCGAAGGCAGAGGCTTAACCCACTGAGCCACCCAGGTGCCCCCATCGGTAGATTCTTGAAAGCCTGTTGGTCATTGCCTTGAAAACCATATGTAGGTATGCCATGGTCTTGAGATGCAAATAACTGTGGGTAAGTATATTCTTGATCTTTCCTAAATGCTTGATCACACAATGCAGAAAATGCACGAACCCTTTTGCCCTTTGTGTCTGTTTTGTGTTGGATTTAACCATCATATATATGACTTGACTGTACTCAACTGAAGACACACATGAGCTGAGCTCTTATTATAAGCCACTGGGCAGGGAATTGAACTTCCAGGGGAGGAAACTGATACACTTTGGCATGAGGGTCCGGAACATAACATTGTGATCTGCTTTAAAACAGAGAGAATGTGAGGGAAGAATTTGACTTAGCATATGGTTTCTTTCCATTTTCCTTGTTGACATTTATTTCATATTAACACTTTTAGCCTCTGCCTTAAAATCTAGCGGAAGAAATAATACTTCCTAGTATGTTAGAGTTCTTCCTTTCCCTAACATGTTGGTACTTTTTCCTACATATAATGGTTTTTTATTTGTATTTTAATTATACGAGGTTTTGTTTGTTTGTTTTGCTTTTAGGTATTTTGGACACCTTCAATATTTGCCTTCTCTTTTCTGATCAAGCCTGATTCATGAAATGGAACTAAAGCTGAAAAATCATCTACTTCTTTGTCTGCAAATTTGAGACACATTTGGGATGGTCTTAAGTGCATACAACTAGACTCTTAACTGCAGCTATGAGTTCAGACGAGAAGGGCATATCCCCTGCTCATAAAACCTCCACTCCGACCCATAGAAGTGCCTCTTCTTCAACATCCTCCCATAGGGACAGTCGGCAGGTAAGAGAACAGTACCAAGTGCATTTTGTTATTTTCTGCAAATACAATACCCTTAGGATATGATGGGCTCGCTAATTAATTCTGAAATATTGTTGTGAAGAGTTTTGTTCCACAGGAAACTCTGTAGATCTACCTGATGATGCCATGAAGACCCTGCTCTTGTTTTTCTGTTGTTTAGGATCCATTTTTAGAGTGTAGACCACCAGGAGGGGTGGCTGGGGAAGCCCTGCTTTCCTCTTCACTGTGCACCCAAAGAGTGAGAGCACCTTCAGAAACTTGAACTCTCTGCTCTCTCTCTTTATTCATGGAGTAAGAGGAGGCGTGTGAGCCTGCACAAGGTCTTCTTTCTATAAGTCTCTCACTGGCCTGTCCAGCACGAACTTCTGTTGGGTGTTTCACGAAATGTGGTGACAGATTCAGGCATTAGGAAACAAGTAAAATCATAGTATCAGAGAATTAAGAGCGGGGGGGGGGGGCCTCTGCTAATGCATAGAGTCAGTAGAGAAAATAAATTATTGTTAATAAAATAATTACTGTTATTGTTAATAAATAATTGTTTAATCCTGTGGAACCAATTCTGTCCCTTATTTTTGTGTTGTCACCTCGTTACTACCTCAGGAGCTGTTGTACCTGCCAGGGCTGGTACAAGCTGTTGTATCTGCCAGGTTGTTGTTTGAGTACTGCTGTTGGCCATTATGACAAAATCTCCTGATGGGATTTTTTTGTGGTGTTAACGGGAAATTTATAGTAAGCAGGTTTAGTGAACTATTTATAAAAATGTTCCTTTTGAGGGACATTTGCTTAGTAAGTCATTCTTGCAGTGCTTTTCCTCCCTGTCTTATATGTCGAAGGTATATTGCCTAGTTTCCAGAACTATGAACTTCGGTTATTTCATAGTACATACTGTAGACGTGGGTCTTGAGACAGCCAATCCTGATGTGACTTCATTCTTCTAGATGGTGGGAAGGCACTGCTGGGGTGTTCCCTTAGGGAGGCCTCTCTGAAGACCCTCCCCACACTCCTCCCATTTCTAGCAAGAGATTGCTGGGTTATCTGTAAGAATCAGAGAATCCTTACCTGTGTGTTTTTCCCAGGTCCTAAGGGTTCTAAGGCAGATATCTCTGCTACCAGTATTTTGGACACTGGTATCCTTTGTTCTAGAGTTCAAACAGGACGTCTTCCCTTCACTAGAAGCAATTATACCATTAACTAAATTTATGACTACACATAGTTAAAATGTTTATTGCTTTGCATTCATATAGAAAAAGAAAGTGAAAGTACCGTGAATGAAAACACATTTATAGTAAATAGCAGCTATGTGCTGAGAGGCTTTCTAAGTCTGCGTTTCAGATTATCCTTCACCTGCCTCCCTGTCCTTTCTTGTCTCGGCTTTTCCCTTTCTCCTTTGCCCTGGGCATTGCAACTGAAAGACACTTTAAGCAGCCTGGCCGTCCCAGCTGCTGAGGCAAGGATGGAATTGACCCGGATCACCCCGGAGAATTGTGGCAAATGGAAAAGATGGATGATGGCTGTGGAAACATCTGTCGTGCATTGTGGGGCGGCCTGTTGCACCTGAGCTCCGGGGCTCCTGTGCAAAACAACGGGGAGAAACCAAGACCCCGGTCCGTGGAGGGAGTCTGAAGGTAGAAGATGTGACTCCTAGCTGCCTTGTGAATGAAAAGTCTTGTGATGAGAATAAAATAGCATGTCTGTAAACCGAGACAATGTTCAAAAGGTCATTATTCGTTAAGGAGGGTTTACTTTAGTTTCTGTTTATCTCAGTGGGTTCAAACTCTCCCCAGTACTCTCTCCTCTGCTTCCTTCCTGCCTCCTGTTTGGTTTTGGTTCATCTCTCCCAGGGGAGCGAATAGAGAACAATTAGAGTTCTGTTTCTCCCTCCCTGTCTCCATCACTTCCTAACATCCAGTATTAACTTGTAGAAATCGGAATTTTTGAGTGATCCTGTGGTATCCTATGATGCAGTGCTTTTTATATGTACTATTATTGTGTGTGACTGTTTTCCTAGTGAAGGGATGGGGAGAAAGTGTGATAAATTAGTCTTCCTCGAATGTTACTGTTCTCCTGATTTGATAGACGTTGATGTAAATCAAGTCCATCCTATTCCTCATAAAAGGATCATATAAGTAAATGATCTGCACACAGCGGAGAATACATTGATACCTTAATGCACACTGTTTACCTGTCCTTACCAAGTCTAGTTCTAGATCACTAATTAATCGATTGGGCATTTCTACGTAGATGTATCACTACATCTAAAATTAATACATATAGGTCCGTTTGCTCTCAGGATAATCATTCTCTCATGGACCCAGGGTCCAACCCATCCTTTCTCCTTTGACCCTCCCACAGTCAGTAGGCTGACAGATTTTATTATTTCCTCTGCATAATGTGACCACTTCTTTCTATTTCTGCTGGCTACTCGCTAGCCCAGACTCCCATCATCTCAGTACCTTCCATGGTTCTCTGGCCTCACTGTCTCCCTTACTGCCTTGTGAGATCAAATTTCCTTACTATGGAAGATTCATTCTCACAACCCTTCAAAGACTCTTGTTTGCCAACACAATTAAGGCCAGATTTCCTTCCTTGGTGTCCCATGATCTCCATGATCTGATCCAACCTCAGCATCTCGTTTTCCTCCCACCCCATACAGTCTTGTTTGTTCATCGTTCCTCAAACTGCCCCATCCCTGTCTCTGGGCTTCAAGGATTGGCTCATGGGAACTTTCACTGACCACTCAGCCCCACGTCGCCCTCTCCCTTCTCTGAACTTTCACAGAACTTTCTGGCAGCACTTGACATGTTTCCATTGTTTATCTTTTTGTACCGATCTCAACTGCTTTTTTTTTTTTTTTTAAGATTTTATTTGAGAGAGAAAGAGAGAGCATGAGGAGGGGGATGGTCAGAGGGAGAAGCAGACTCCCCGCTGAGCAGGGAGCCCAATGTGGGACTCAATCCTGGGACTTCAGGGTTATGACCTGAGCTGAAGGCAAGTTGCTTAATCAGCTGAGCCACCCAGGCGCCCTCCTCGTCAGTTTTGTGAGCAAACGAACGACATGCTCTAATTCTTTAGAGACAAGCCTTGCACCTCAAATATTTTAATATATCCTCGAGGATATTTTTAAAGACCTGCAATGGCATTAGTCTTGTCTTCTTATTACAAACTTGCCATTCCAGATTTATTTGTCCTCTCTCTTCTTCCCTCCTCATAGATTACGTAAAACAAAGAACATCTGGCAAGCACAAAGTAGTAATTGGCCCATCCTTCCTGTGGCCAAATTCTGTAGCACAACAGGTGAAGGAGGAAGAGGAGCTGGGAATTGAAGTGATTCAGTGCCCCTGTGATTTCACAAAGTGTTTCTTCATCAGCATGAGAGGGTCAGGACTCCACTTAGTACTTAACAAGTTGGAAGGCTTCAGTAATTGCTCCATTTATTTATTCCAGACTGATAGTCAATGTTAGAATATCTAACAAAATTAGCTGTGTGTGTGTGTGTGTGTGTGCATGAGAGAGAGAGAGAGAGAGAAAGAGACAGACACAGAAACCGAGAGATCAACTATAATTCTTAAGCTGCAAGAAATAGATGCCCTAAATTTTTCAAAAAGGAAATAGAGGGGTTGATTAAGACATCTAGAACTTATACATAAATCAGTACTTCCAAGCATATCTGCCAAAGAAAGCCTTCCAAGATGTTGTATGAAAAGAGAGTTTTATTGTCAAGTAAGAGGAGTGCTAAACACAATCTCTTTTTGCAATATACATTAATAAATTAAGGACACTGATAAATCCTGTTGTTAGAACGTTAACTGAGCACTTCTAGAATCTAGTAGATTTTGGAACTTTTTTTATTTTCCTAAGATTTGGTGGTTAAACATACACATTCTTCTTTCTGTTAAGAAATTGAAAGATCTGGGTGGCTCAGTGGCTTAAGCTTCTGCCTTTCGCTCAAGTCCTGATCCCAGGATCCCGGGTTTGAATCCCACTGCTCCCCACTGCTTGTGCTCTCATTTTCCCTCTCTTTCTCTGTCAAATAAATAAATAAAATCTTAAAGAAAAAGAAAGAAAGAAAGAAGGAAGTTGGAAGATCTAGGAACACTGGAGCCCAGATTCTGAATTGGCAACACCAGACAGGGCTTAGAAGTGCCTTCCCCTTTAGAAGGGGCATGTACCCTCTGATTGGTCATAGTCCCTGCCTTTCCTTATCGTGCTTCAATGCTTATGTTTCCTGCTTGGCCCCAGAAAGCATTTGAATTGCCAGCCCTGATCCTCAATATCAAGTCAACCATAGGTTGAGGTTACCAAGAGTGATCTCCAGTTGGACGTTAAGAGGGCATCCCAAACTTAGCATGGCCAAAACTGAGCTCTTAATTTTCCTCTCAAATCTGCTGCTTCCCAGTCCTCATCTCAATAACCACAAGTCTCTCCTTTCTTTTGGTCCAGACAGAAACTTCGCCAGAAATCATCCTCAACACATCTTTTTCTTACACCTGCTTCCAAACCCTCAATGAATCCTATTGTTTCTACCTTCAGATGTACCTGGGCTCTGACCACTGCTTACCGCCTCCTCCCCCTCCACTCTGGTCTGAGCTACTGTCACATCTCATCCAGACGCTGGCCATAGTCTTTTACTTGGTTTCCCTGCCTGTAAGTCCCTCACCCGATATAGAGGCCATTTTCACAGAGTGGTCAGAGTGATCCCTTCAAAACCCATGTCAGAACAAGCCACTTCTCCGCTGCAAACCTTCTAGTGATTCCCATCTGTCTCTAAATAATCCTTGAATTGCTGACTGTTGCCTATAACCTCATTCATCATCTGGTTCTGCCTACCTCTCTGATCCCATCTCCGGCCTTGTTCTTCTTTACTTACTTCTCTCCAGCATTTTCCTCTGTTGTGCTCCCACCTCAGGACCTTTGCATTTTGGACCCCCATAGCCTAACTTGCTTTCCCTCCAGGCATCCCCAGGTTTGTTCTTATACTCAGT